TTGTTAAAAAAGTTCCTAAATTGATGAAATACAATAGATAGATACAGAAATAGGTTGGTTAAAACTTGGTAGAGTATGGTTCAGACTAGGTCGAGTATGGTTCAGACTAGGTCGAGCATGGTTCAGACTTGATCGAGAATAGTTCAGACACATATAAAATGGTTCAGTACTGGTAGAGTATAAGTTTAGACTGTTAAGTATGGTTCAGACTACGCTCGAGTAATATCAAGTAAATTTCACACCAAGGCAGACTGGTCGAGTAAAAATCAGTACAGTCGAATAAAGATATTAGGCCATTTCAGATTTTTTTCTGGTTTGTAGTGTATGTTGCTAATATAAAATAAATATACATATTTACGTCATGTCCTTAAAACAATATTAAGGAGCTTACCCACACTCGTCACATCTGTACAGGTATTTTCCTTCCTTTCTTGGTTTCGTGTCCAGTTCGTAATCACTGTAATGAACAACACAATTGATTAAAAAAAAAATTAAACTCTTTTTAAGTTGACGATGTAAACACAAGGTAGCAATGAATTAATGACATTCTTATCTTTATCCAAAATCCTTATAGAACTATTTCTGCGTTGCATATACTTTTCGCTCCTTTTCCCCGTCTTTCTTACAGCAAAAAGCCGCATGAACTGATGAAGTCTTTAGATTTAACAATATGCAGAACAGTTTAATTGAAGAAGCTTTATAAAAAGGCAATAGTAGTATACCGCTGTTCAATAGTCATAAATCGATTTAACTGAAACAAGCCCGTGTCACAAACCAAAACTGAGGGAAACACATCAACCATAAGAGGAAACAAAACGGAACAACAGAAACCCTGAACTGTTACAAAAACAAACGCCAACATACATGAAAACGGACCATGTGATAACAATTGCCATATTCCTGACTTGGTACAGGACATTTTAAGAAAAAATGGTAAGTTGAACCTGGTTTTATGGCTAGCCAAACCTCCCGCTTATATAGCAATGTTAAAAATTCCGCTAAAATGACAACATTACGTGACAGGAATAAAGTACAAATAAATGCAAGAACATTCAGGGCAGAGAAATACATAAACAAACAATACAATAGCCCATCCAAACATGTAAACAACAGAATAACAACGAACAACTAAAATTAATTTACGACAGAACACAAATACAGCACAATAGAATAAGGAACTGTGCGTCACACGAATGTATCAACGCAACAAAAAGTGATGTCACAGGTAAATTTCTCAAATACAATATGAAATTGAGATTAAGTTAGTAATGGTGTTATCTGATGTATTTTCTAACCATTACAACAATATTAATATAGAATTGTGTTATATACGATTATTACAAACATTATAAAAATAACTGGTAGTGTTCTGTTAAGTTCATTCAATGATAATATACAAACGAAACAATTTTACTAACTTCCTTCGCTATTCGTGAATGTTACTGCTAAAGTCGTTGACCCCATTATCAACAGTCGATTGTGAATGTGACTGCTAAAGTTGTTGACCACTTCATCAACAGTCGATTGTGAATGTGACTGCTGGATTCGTTGACCCCTTTATCAACAGTCGATTGTAAATGTGACTACTGACGTCGTTGAACCTTTTATCAACAGTCGATTGTGAATGTGAATGCTAAAGTCGTTGAACCCTTTATAAAAACATAAATACTTTTGATTTTTCTACGCTTTACACTTCTATTCCCAATGCTCATTTGAAAGATCGACTTCACCATCTCATTAAACAGAGCTTTTTCTACAAAAATTGGAATCGTAGATACAAATGTTTTGTTTTGGGGTACAATAATTCATATTATGTGAAAAACCACACTGAATCTACCAGAAAATATACTGAAGATGATATTATCAAAATGCCGGACTTTTTGATCTACAATATATTTGTTGAGTTTGGAGGATTTATATTTCAACAGACAGTCGGTATTCCAATGGGAACTAATTGTGCACCCCTACTGGCCGATTTGTTTTTGTACTCGTATGAAGCAGAATTCATTCAGAACCTTCTAAAAGACAAAAAGAAAAAGCACCTTGCGAAATTCTTTAATTTTATTTTCCGATATATTGATGATGTTCTATCATTGAATAACCCATATTTCAGCCAATACTTACATCTCATATATCCCAGTGAACTTGAAATTAAGGATACTACTGATACTAGAAGGACTGCTTCATACCTTGATCTTTTCCTCAATATTGACACAGATGGACGACTTCACACGAAAATCTATGATAAACGGGACGATTTCAACTTCCCAATTATCAATTTCCCATTTCTCAGCAGTAACATACCCTCTGCCCCTTCGTATGGTGTTTACATATCTCAATTGATACGTTATTCTCGTGCTTGTTCACACTATACAGACTTCATATACAGGAGTGTGCTCCTTACGCAGAAACTGCTCCAACAAAGTTATGAGGAGGACAGATTAAAAATGACACTCCGTAAATTTTACGGACACCATCACCAATTGGTTGATCCATACGATGTGTCTTTGTCAAAACTAACTAAGGACATTTTTACCACGTGTTAGATTGTGGTTTGTCATTACGTCGTCTGATCTTTTAATTACCGAACGTGACTTATTCCCGATTGTGACTGCTTTGCTGAGTGTGAAACCGCATTGCTATAAGGCGTGTCACGGTACCTTTCTATCCCAAATTCATGTATTTAATTTTGATGTTATATTTGTTGTTCTCGTCGTATTTTGTCAAATGTCTTAACGTTTTTTCTGTTATATTCGTGTGTTATGGTATAGAGAATTAATCACCCCCTTCATTTATTAGATTTTAGTTTGGTTCAACGAAATTTATACGATATATTTGGTTTACAGTTTGATTCAGAAAAAAACATTGACATAGCTAGATAATACAATTAATTATCTAATTGCTACCACAATTTTATTAATAAGTATTGGAATTTTCATTGTTATTAATAAATGTAATGGCAGTGTTACAAATCTAAGCTTGAATCAATCCTAATCCTATTTCATTTTTGGGAAATATTTTTACAAATTCATATGTGACGTCACTTTGTGTGTTTTTTTAGAATTTAAAATGTGACGTCACTTTGTGCGTTGAGGCTTTAACTAGCTCGGCAGTGTATTTTTATATGTTGGATTAAGTTGTTTATGTAATGTATCCGTTTTTATTCTGTAGTTAGTCCCCACTTTGGTTTTATCATGTATATCTATTATATAGTCATTTTATAAAATTTACTGCTTGCAAAGTTATAAATTATTCTAAATAATAAGGATGTTCTTGTCCCAGGCAGAAAATCCTGTCCGTGTTAGGCGCAACTTTTTTGAGGTTTTGGTCCTCGGTGCTCTTTAGCTTTGTACTTGTTTTGGCTTTCAAACTTTTTTTATCTGAGCGTCACTGGTTGGTCTTGTGTAGACGAGACGCACGTCTGGCGTATTGAATTTTAAGCCTACTACCTTCTGCTAGCTATTATTCGTGTGTTTCTTTGTCCTATATGTTCTCCCATTTATTTGTATTGTGGTCTTGTCATGTGATGTTGTCGTTTTGGTGTTGTGTTTTACGTTGCCATAAAAGCGGGAGGTTTGGCATGCCATAAAACCAGGTTCAACACACCATTTATTTCTTAAAATGTCCTGTACCAAGTCAGGAAAATGGCCATTGTTATATTATAATTCGTTTCTGTGTGTGTTACATCTTAATGTTGTGTGTTTGTTGTGTCGTTGTTCTCCTCTTATATTTGATGCGTTTCCCTCAGTTTTAGTTTGTAACCCGGATTTGTTTTTATCTCTATCGATTTATGAGTTTCGAACAGCGGTATACTACTGTTACCTTTATTTATCAACAGTCGATTGTTAATGTGACTACTGAAGCCGTTGACCCCTTTATTAACAGTCGATTGTGAATGTGAATGTTAAAGTCGTTGAACCCTTTTCAACAGTCGATTGTGAATGTGACTGCTAACGTCATTCACCCCTTCATCAACAGTCGATTTTGAATGCGGCTGCTGAAGTCGTTGATCGCTTTATCAACAGTCGATTGTGAATGTGACTGTTGAAGTCTTACCCCTTTTTTAACAGTCGATTGTGAATGTTACTGCTGAAGTCGTTGAATCCTTCAGCAAACAGTCGATTTTAAATAATCTTGTGAATCGAGGATATTTTAAAAAGAGGTGGAAAATATCAAAGAGGACATTCAAACTCATACGTCGAAGACATATGGGAAACACTATGGCAAATAATGAACATTGACGAAAGGAAAAACAACAGTTAACATAAAACTACATATACACAATTAAAAGAAGCTGCGCAACATGACTTGAAAATGTCGTTTGAAAACAGTATGGTGTCCTTAGCTTATACTATGCACAATTTGCCTTACTAGTGCGGATAATTATGATGAATGCCTTTTACATTCAATATCATGGTTAAATCGTATATTTAAAGTATCAATAGGTTCTAAATCTTTAACTAGACAAGCAGAAATAGTTAACGAGCAGTATATTTACGAAAATTAAATACAACCTAATTTTAACGCTATGGAAAATAAATTACGCTATACGTTTGCACATCATTATCAGTATTAATCACTTAAACGCAATCCTACTCGAGTAAGTGCTTGCTAACGTATGCAACGAATTACAAATGACTTTGTAGAAGATGTAAATCAAAGCAAAACAAAATATTTAAAATAAAAATGTGAGTTGGTGAAACATGTATCTAGAAAATTAAGCAAATACGGCTTTAAAAAACTGCTACTTAGGAACAATGTAATGAAGATAAGTACATACATGTTACTAGTAAATATGTCAACAGTTAAACGGTGCACTGGTTTACACAATATAAGAAACAAATTTATCCAGAACCATGGAGAGAGGAGCTTCATTTCCTTAAAAAAAAATTAAGATATACACGAAGATAATGTGTGATTCACTTAAACATTTGACGAAAAGTTTACTTTGTTTTAAGCGTAAAATTAACACTGTAAAATATACAAACATATTGTCCTACCTCTGTGGTTTAGGTAATTCTTTCTCTCTGTTTCCGGTATGTTGTGTACGTACTCCACTGTCAAAATAAAAATGAAGTGTTTACATATGATTCCTTAAATGCATAATATCAAAACAAAACAATTTAAAAATGAGGAAAACAGATATTCTGTGCCAGTTTGAAAACAAGTATTCCTGAATAACTTCATTAGTTTACGTAGTGTCAAGTGCATTGTGAATTCAATTTAAAATGTACATTGTCAAAGACCACATGTATATTTACTAGAGTCCATTGGTATTCAGTTATAAACAATACATTGTTAATGACCACATCTTTTTATTGAATGAATTGTCTCCTCTGCTTATGTCATGAGATTCAATTCAGAAATACATTGATATTTAAAAACAGAAGTTTGATTATGCAAAAATACGTTTCACTTTCAAATAATATAGTTACATTAAAGCATGTATTACGACTGCAAAATGCAGTCTACAAAAAAATTGCAGTGGCTTTACCTTATTTTGAAGATGCCAAACAATTGTTTGATGTCGTTATATGTTACAGGCTTAGCAGTATACTGTATGTTCGGAAATTCGGGTATAGACTCTATCGTCAGCTTTGCAATGTCATCTGTAAGCTTCTGTAACGACTGTAACAATTTTCCATCATTTTGTGTCCTGTCGAGTTCATATATCTTCTTGTCTAAGTTACTTCCCGACTTCAAATCCATTTTCCTATCTGCTATGATCTTTGTTAATTTGTCCGTTTCCGTCTTGGATTGGTCCTTGACCGATGCAATCATCTTTGCGATACATTTATCAACCATAGCCTTTATCCTCGTACCTTCTTCTGTAATAGCTTTGACTACTACTTCCGCCTTCACATCAAATGCCTTTAGAACTTCTTCCATCTTTTTCATGTTTTGGGTTGTCTTGTGAACCTTTCTTTGGAGGTCTTTTTTATTCTTCTCCTTCAGCTGTGATATGCTGTCTATTAACTTAGAAAAGGCATGCCCTGTGTGACTATCAGTTACACAACTACTGCACACTGCTACATTACATGTATTACACACAAAACTGAAGTCTTCATTGTGTTCCTTACATTTCGATTTACCTTCCGGGATAACGTCTGATGAAGACTGAAATTGGTGATTTTTTGATAGTTTCTGTCTGATATGAAAGGTTTTACAATTTTCACAAAAATATTGCTCACATTCTAAGCAGTATTGGGATCCTGGAGCACTAACACAAATCTCACATGTTTTCGAGGCTGCCTGTGCCATTTCGTCAATTATCTTCGACAATGTATAATACACAGGTAAGGAAAATAGCCAAATGATAAGAGTGTTTTACATTTAAATCAATAACGGTTATATGTGTTTGTCGTGTATTTAAAGGTAGAACTGTGAAACATAAAACTTAAGTTATAATTTTAATATATTATGAATATTTTACATATAAGACAAAGTTTTATTGACTACTGTATTATTGGCCAGTATAAGGTTTTATTGATGATGTTAGATATTGACCTGAATTTTTTTGACTTATTAATCATAATTTAGATCAACAAAATAAGTAAAATATCATCCTAATAATAACTGGTGTATGCATATATAGACATATTACACTGGGGGAAACTGAAAATTGTAAGTAAGATGTGTACGATATCCGGAAAAAAATTTAGTACATACACAGAATTTACATAGTGTAAGTTTTCTTTTAAACGCAAGTCCTGGTGTTTGGATTTTTATGTGTTTATCTCTAATAAACGTATAGATTAAAATTAAGCTGCTCAACAGTCTTATTTAATAGTATCTACTCAAAATATGACCTAATGGTTATCGATTTGCAGTTGTTATTACTTTGATATTAGCCGTTACTGATTATAAAAACAAGAGATACGTCTACATGATACCTATGAGGGTCACACACATTTCTGAAAAACAAAAAAAAGCATAGCAATTCTTTGTAACCAATTCGAAATATCCAAATACATACGTTGATGAAGGTAAATTGTCATTGAACATTGAAACATAATATGAAATCGATTGTATATCTATATACGTCTATACGTAAATATATACCATGATTCCCATTGGCGAATAGTTAAATATATGAAATGAATTAATCGGTTACTTTGATTTTTTACGAGGGTTAGCAGATCTGGCTTCACACATAGCACCTTCGAATCCAATGCTTTAAAAATAAGGAGAATTATAATCACTTATCATTAGTTCAATAAACAATGCCAACAACATGAAAAATGAAAACGTCGAAAAAACAAACATCACTAACAACACATTATATAGAACACTTAAGGTTTAGCAACACGAACCGAACGAGAAACCCGAGGTTAAACATCATTATCTGAATTGCGTGTTGAAGTAATTTTCTTATAGAAGAAGTTGTAAAGAAGGCATTATTCTAATACTAAATGTAGACTCATGATATTGATATTTAGTTTTAAAGAGAAGAAGGAAACTAATTATCATTCTAACGGTTGCTGTATAGTTCAACAGTTGGGATATCTATTTAGATATTTTATTTAGAAATATCACAAGCCTACCAACACTTTGGATGTAAACTCGAATTCCGCTACGGTAAGGCGAGTCCGACTGCTGTCTTAATTGACTAGATTCCGTCTGGATGCTGCGGCTTCCCCATTCATGGTATAGCAACGAGTGATATGTTGGCGTTAAGCAAAAACAATATCACAAATAATAAGCAGTTGGACCAGCAGTACTGTAATACATTGTGTACTGATTTCGTTTGTAGAGACATACGGCTCATCTCAATTGTTTAAACCAGGATACCTCTTTTCAAGTCTATAATTGTATATAAACGCAGAACAAATAAAAATCATGTTAGTCTGTGTACCTTCAAAAGTTCACAAATTGTATGTTTTAAAAGAACAAATAAAATTCTTTATGACTGTATATCTCCTTTCATGTCTCTAATTATATATATAAACAGACGAAATAAAAATTCTTTAAAGTCCCATTCATGCAAATGAAATTATATGATATCTGAAGATTTAAAATCAATTCAAGTGTGTTTTGTATTTCAAACACAAATTACTGGTTTAATTAGGTGAAACGTGTATTTAATATATGACCTTTACTGCATTTCATGTGTTAAATCATTCATCAAGGTTTTAAAGTACACTTATAAAATGTAACATTACACGCACATTATCAGGTAACATTTACAATAACCTGTAGAAATAACTCGTGATTTGTTTTTAAATGGCAAATTTGATTAAAAACCACAATAGATTAAACCAAAACGATTTAGAAAAACACAGTTCGACGTTAACAAGTTATAATCGGAAATATCTTGTATTCCCTTTCATAAGGGTATTTCTGGTTGGTGAATAAAACTATTTATAAACAAAACACATCGACTAAAGATATGAATTAAAAAAAGATCAACTAGTAATTTATGCTATAATAAAGACCACCAGGATATGTGCTGTACTAATGGCAAGTGTGACAGAAAAAATGTTCCGGGACATGAGGAATCAAATGTAGAAAATATTGTTAGTAAAATAATTTAAAAGTAGGAAAGAAAAAGAATCGGAAGTGCTTTTTAATAGCCTAGGTTTTCAAAAGTTGCATATCCCATTATGCAGTGGTAACAAATATATAGCAAATAACGATGAATACGGTTAAAAGGCATTCACCATAGGAAAGAGTGTCCGGTTCAGATTGTATTTCGTCGAATGAATCACTCCGATTTTCCCAGTGTAGTCCAAGTTTTGTTGAGTAAAATTACATGCAGCCGAATCGATTAATTTTTAATACGTAATTATATCATTTGTGACTGATATTTTAGTGAGTGCTGCTTTCTCATTTCCAAGTGGACTCAAGATAAAGAAAACGAAATGATCTGCTTTGTGTCTTGATTTTTAATTCGAGATTGACGCATATTAATTACTTTATGACAAACGTAATGATTTCAACTTTCTAGTTACAAACTTCCAATATATGAGCAGCAAATACCATCTACTCCAGCCCATGGTTTTCACGGATTTCAATTGATACGTTACGATCGTGTTTAATCATACTAATCTATACAGACTATATTGTACAAATTCTTTAATTATATAAATCACTTTTCAATTCTATACATAATTATACATAAAAACAGAAACAAAAATGTTGAAGCCCGTATATCTCCTTTCATTTCTATAATCTAACATATAAACCATTGTAAACGTAACAAATAAAAACTCGTTACGCCTGTATACCTCCTTTCAGTTCTATTATTGTATATATAAACAGAACAAAAACAAATTGTTTAAACGCAACGAATCCCATTCTTGCTTAATAAAATCATATGAAAAGCGTAGGTTTTAAAAATCAGTTCAAATGGATTTTATACTACTCTCACTTGTTATAACTTACTAGATGAATCATTATTTATTTGTGTGTGACTCTCAATGCATGTCATTTTGAAGTTGTAAATTGTAATACTGTAAAAATAAAATCTGGAGGAATTACATGGATTTCGTTTATTTATCAGCAATACTAGTCGAATTAATGAAACATAAACCAGATTGTTTGTTAAATCGTACATCAACATTAGCAAAAACAAAAACAAAAATAAAATAACAAAATTACCATACTCAATGATAAATTCAAAAAGGGGGACATCCATAAAAGCTGACAAAATCAATAGTGACAATTTCAGAACTTGTGAAATATATAGTTCAATTGTCCTTCGCCTGCCTCTCTTGAATTTCTGAACGGTGATGTAGAAAGTAAAATAACATAAATTCCGAACTCCGAGGAAAATTGAAATTGGAAAGTCCCTCATCAAATGGCAAAATCAAAAGCTCAAACACATCAAACGAATTGAAAACAACTGTCATATTCCTGACTTGGTATAGGCATTTCCTGTAGAACACTTTAAGGAAATTGTACTTCCGCATTCCATAATACATTTTTGAACGGTTATACAGAACACTGTTGGATATTTGTTCTTCCCCTGCTCCTAATAAATGTCTGAACGTTGAAATAGTACAATATTGGGAATTGTCCTTCCCTTACCCTTGATAAATTCCTGAACGGTGATAAAGCACACTTTTGAGAAATTGTTCATCCCCTACTCCTAATGATGTCTTAACAGTGATATAGCACACTATTGGGAAATTGTCCTTATTCTACATCTAATGAATGTCTGAACGGTGATATAGTACACTATTGTTAAATTGTTCTTTCCCTACCCCTAATGAATTCCTGAACGGTTATATTACACACTTTTGGGAATTTGTCCTTCCCCTACCCCTTATTAATTCCTGAACGTTAATATAGCACACTATTGGGATATTGTCCTTCCCCTACCTCTATTCGTTTCCTGAAAAATGATAAAGCACACTATTGGGTAATGATTCTTCCCCTACCCCTAATGAATTTCTGAACGTTGATATAGCACACTATCAGGATATTGTCCTTCCCCTATCCCTAATGAATTTCTGAACGTTAATATAGCACACTATTGGGATATTGTCCTTTCCCTACCTCTATTGGTTTCCTGAAAAGTGATAAAGCTCACTATTGGGTAATTATTCTTCCCCTACCCTGAATGAATTTCTGAACGTTGATATAGCACACTATTAGGATATTGTCCTTCCCCTATCCCTAATGAATTTCTGAACGGTGAAATAGCACACTGTTGGGATATTGTCCCTCCCCTACCCCTAATTAATTCCTGAACTGTGATATATACATTGTAACAGAATAGTGAAATTGTTCTTCTCCTACCCCTATTGCATTCCCGGACGGTGATATAGCACAATAGTGGTAAGTTTGACGTCCCTTATCCATCCCGAATGAATTTCTGAACGATGAAAAAGCACACTATTGGGAAATTGTCCTTCCCCTACCCCAAATAAATTCATGAACGGTGATATAGTACACTATTGGTCAATTGTCCTTCACCTACCCTTAATGAATTCCTGGACGTTGATATAGTACACTATTTGAACATTGTCTTTCCCTTACTCCTAATGAATTCCTGAACAGTGATTTAGCACACTATTGGGAAATTGTCTTTCACTACCCTATATTAATTTGTACACGGCGATATAGTACACTATTGGGAAATTGTCCTTCCTCTACCCTGAATGAATTCCAGAACGGTGATATAGTACCCCATTGAGAAATTGGCCTTCCCCTACCTTTCGTGGTTTTCTGAACGGTGATATAGTATACAATTCAAAGTAATTCTGCTTACTGGAATATAGTGCAAAAACGTAAATAACTAAGGATAGTGCAAGGGGATGTTTGAAATAATAATACAAGGCTTACATTGGTTTGCTA